CTATAGGCCTGCATGTTGAAGGCTGTGTTATTGACTTGGTGGAACCTTTGTAACAAGGGTTGCTAAAGAAAGCAGCTGTCAAGAATTAATCTGCCATCCATCTTGCTTTGGGAAATTGGGGTTGTAGTTGTGTAAGTCGGGTTGGCCCAAATTAACAGTTTACATTAGATTTGGGCTTCAAATCCCGCCTGCAAGGTGTTAATAATCAGCTGGTTGGTAAGGTTTCTATTGATTGTAGCAGAGACTTGGGGTCAAACCCCGCCTGTACTTGGGTTAAGGGAGCCATGGGTTGGGGGATGGGCTCTTGCATTATCTATTCCTCTCAAGAATATTACTCCCAAGAGAGTTAAATGGATGACTTGGCTTCCACACGAAATGGGATMTGCTCCTCACACAGGGCGCCTCACACGGACCTCATATACACATCTCACCATATATGCACTGGGAATATCTCCTGTGAATAATAATGTATAAATACGAGAAATGTTCCCAAGTGGGATGTGCATGTGAGGTGCCCGCAGATCCTGTCTCCTTCCACACCCCCACTAAAATAAATACATTCTGATTGAAGCTTAATCGGCATAACGTCATGGAGTGTGACAACAGAACACTAACCAACCACAGCATCATTTCCTTTTTATCGGAGACTAAAGAATTCCTTTTGAGAAAATTAGATGTTTTTTTTAACTAATTAATTTGGTGCTTTTGTTAACTAAAGATTGGTTAAAAACTTAACTTGAATTTGAAACTTAAAAGTTATTTAAAACAATGATAATATCTCTCAAAGTATTCATTTCCTAGACCTAGAATTAATGCTATCCTCTCGAATAGGGCTGGTTGGTTTATTTATTTTTGGACAAAATAATATCAAGACATTAAAAAAGATACTTGATACTTATGGGTGCAATAATTTCAAAAGGAAATGATTTGAGAACACCCCATTTGTTTACAAAGGGAGTAGACACCTGATCATTAGTCATAGAGTATATGTTTTGAAAGGTCAAATTCTTACAAAAAGGCAAATGATTCCTATAACATTGCTGTTCATCATTATAAATAGGACCCCTTTTACTTGTTAAAAACAAGATGTGCACAAGGCCCTAAGTTAATTCCTTGGGATCACTTAGGATAGAGTATGTAGAATGTACAATCTTGTATTTTATATTATTCGATTATTATGTATTTGTACTATACATACAATTTCCAAACTGAGTAGATGGGCTTGCGTAATTAATACTTAATAGTGGGAATGCTATAAAATTTTAAACAAATTATTCTTTTTTTTTTTTTTGACTTTTCTTTTATTGCTTTACTGGAAGGAGTACAAATACAAACATGTAGAGTGCAAAACCTTGTATTTTGTATTATTTTAAATGTATTTACACTTACATAATTATATATTTATATTTGTACTCCTTCCAAACACCAAACTGAGCCAGATTAGTAGAAACATAGATCCATCAACTGCCAACTCCAACCATCAAAGTATTAATACAACAAGTTACCATTCATTTATTGGGTTTCATGCGGGTCATAAAAGTTAAAATCCAAATACCATATATCATATTTAATTATTTATAATTATGATTAATTTGTGTACATGTACATAAAATATACTCTTGTATGAATTAAAACAAAGGAATAGAATAATATCCATATATAGCTATATTTATTTTAGGAAAAAAACTATACTTTTATGATATAAGCTTCTCTGGTATCATAGTCCGACTCTTTGTTTTATCCTAAACAATACATTCTAGAATTGATATATACAGATCTAAACTGTTAATCCAGCATCAAATGAAAATGAATAGAAAGGTTTGTTGGAAAAAGAAGTAATATTATTATTATGTGAACGTGAATGGTGTTAAATGTGCAAGGACTACGGGTGATGATTTCCAACCTGGGCCATGCTCACCCGGAGCATAGTCAGAAATGTCAAAATGTCTTCCCCTGAGGAATCAAGATGGTCAGAAAAGAAGATGAAGATTTATGGCCGGTTACCTTCCAAGCTTCCTTAAAGGGCTACCAGAGAGCAAAAAGAGACGAAAATAAGAGGATAACAACATGCATGCATGGTCCCTCCTAATCTCTGCATAAAGAAAGAAAACAATATATCTGACCTGAGAATCATCAGTCACACCATAACTGTGGTCCAAAGTACTTCTGGAATCGCCATTTGCTCCCTTTCGGCGGTGATTGAAAGTTTGAAACTAGGCTAAGCTGCAGGGGATGAGAGGACCGGAAGAAAGAAGACTCTAGGACAAAGGCTTTAATGACTTTTGGTTAATGCAGAGAGAGCCAGCAGTAATTAAGGAAGAGCTGATCTATTTCCCTGTATCCTTATTAGGGGTGAGCATTATTCGGTTAAAACCAAAATATTGAATTAAAAATTTCAGTTTCGGTTTTTTTGATTTTTGAGTAATTCAGTTCGGTTAGTTTGGTTTTTAGAGTTAAAAATTCGGTTAGCTGAAAAAACCGAATTAATCAAATTTTATTATATAATATGTAATACGTAATATATAATATATAATATATAATATATAATATATAATATATAATATATAATATATAATATATAATATGTAATATGTTAATATATTATATATAATATGTAATATGTTAATATATTATATAATGTATTATAATGAAGTTCAATTTCATAATATATATTGTAATATAATAATATAATATAATAATCCAAGGTTTCAGAAAAAAAAGAAATAAAAACTAAAAAAAAAGTATCAATTCGTCCGATACATCCATACCGGTGTATCGAGCATATCAATATTTTGAACCTTGGATAGAATAGATGGTCTAACATAAATTGAATGATTGATTTAATATATTTTTCTTATATATAATTATTAATTATGATAATGAATAGAAATTATTAAAAATGATAATGAATAGTATACAGGATGGTATATTACCCATTAATTTTACTTGGATAGTATTCTTTTGCCCATTGGCTTTTCTCCCACTATGGTGTTATGTCTCAATGCAAAACGTCATAAAAATGATTTGATTTTTGGCACAAAATGATTTGGGCACACCATATTTGGCCAATTTAATTTAATACGGACACACCATGGGTTATTTAATTTGATATGGCCATGCCACATTTTGCATCCCACTATGTGAATAGGGTAGTAATGGAAACATGAAGAAGACTATTATTTGTTGACATTTAGAATTGAACAAGATCTTATATATTCTAGGATGCAATTGTCCACGTTAACCTACTCTTTCTTGCTTCTTTATCTCCTTAGAATTTTGTGATTTCTTTTTATTTTTTTTAAAAAACAAAAAAAGAAAAATGGGTTACTCATAACCATTTCAATTTCCCTTTATTATAAAACCTGTGATCACTCCCTTGTATAATACGGTTATCTTTTAACACCAGTCCGTGCATCGCATGGAGCTCTTCTATAGTATCTAATTGATGTTTCGTTTATCTGATTGACTTTGTGTCCAAAGGAAATAAAATGATGTTATAAATCCTAAGGCTGTGTTTGGTTGTAGTACAGTTTTCATTTGTATTGGTGTTAATGCATGGGAGTGCAAAAAGGCCGAATATAAATTCTGATTTACTGTTCGCTTCATATTCGACTTTGGGACCATTTGATACCGGCTGAAGTTGCTATTTACATAAAACAAAGATTACAGCTTGAAGTTGCTGAACTGAAAGATTTAATGCTTTGTCTTTTAATTGATAAAATAAATAAATAAATAAAACTTTTAAGGGTATACTGATCTACCCAATTTTAGGATACAAAATTTGCACTCAGTTAATGCAAGAGACAAAAAGTACAAATTTTGCATTGAATAGGAATGCAAATCATAATTACAAATAAATAAAAACATAACTGAACCAGGTAAAAGTTTTGCGCCTAGTCAAAATTTGTACTGCAACCCAAAACAGTCTAAACAACTGATTAAGCAAGTGAAAATGAATCCCATTGTGACAAAGGTGTATGTAAAACTAAAATGAAACTCATTTCAGAAATGGTGAGCAAGACTCTTTAGGGGTGCAAGTGGGGCTAGGTTAGGTCAGGTTGAGGCCAACCCTAACCCAACTAGATTTGTTGAACCCCCAACCCTAATCCTCACCTGGATTGGGTTCAGGTTGGACAAAGCTCTTTGCATCCTTTAACCAAATACACTTATTTCCCATATACTAAGGTTAATTCAATATTAGCATTCTTATGTGTAAAAGAACATTGTTATTATGTTACAGAAAAAAAAATGTCTTTTAACTTAAAATTTTTAATGTACAATATATATAAATACATAAATACTTGTAATAAAAAAATACATAGATGTATACATTTTGGATGCATAGTTGCATATGCATACTTGCACGAATAGTGACTGCACATATACACGGGTATTTACATGCATAAATATATATATTTATATGATATCTATACATGTAAATATGAACTTAAGTCAGGTGCGGGTTGGGTCGGATTGGTCAAGGGCCTCAACCCTAACCCAATCCAAAGTTAAATTCAAATTCATATTTTTCAACCCAACCCTACTTTTTCGGGCTGGGTGTAGGCTAACCCGGTCCAAATTGCAGCCCTAAGCAAGACAGTATAGGCAATGGTTTTACCGGTTAACCGGCCAGTTAAATTGTTCAGCCTGTAAGAATCATCAAATAATTAGAATAACACAGAAAGCTTCACGGCTAACTGGTTCACTGGTACCATCCAGCTAGTCTGAGTCTGACAACACTGCAACAAGACAACAAGTCATACAACAAACTTCTCTTTTGTTGCTGCTACTGCTCCTATTGTAGGTAACTTAATGAATCTTAATAGAAAAAGCCTTGGCAATTTTAGTTTATCCTACTTTACTTAAATATAAATACAATCCATTAACAAGCCCCTAATAAATTGTTCAATTATTTTGATTGAACAATTGCTTTTCCCGTTGAAGAGAAAATTGTTCAATTATTTTGATTAAAAAAGACCTGAAAATCATAAAAGCCCATCTTTCAGGCTGACAAATTACATCATCTCATTACCAACACACGCATTTACATTGCCTGCTACGTAAGTGGTTTATGCAAAAGTTGTGAAAGTATATAGACAATTAATAAAAATGAAAACCAAAAATCATAACAGGTAATATTTACAGATAAAGTAAGATGGTCACTCTAAAATTATGAGCCAAAATAAATCACCAAGGAACCAAAAAGACAAGTTTAGGTAATTAGGTTGGTGGATGTTAAGGAAACTTGCAGGGCCTATTCGTCAATACATCTGGAACAAGGAGAGGGAAAAAAAAGCACCGCAGTCAAATATGACAACATAAGGCAAATAAAGCTTTCCCAGTGGGGGCTGCTTTGTACATAATCAACACAGAGAGGGAAATACTGATTGCCAAAATACAGGTGGTGATCATCAACTCTCATAACAAATGACAACATCCACACCAGGGTCATGACCTGAAAAAAATTGGTTCTGAACTGTTTTCAAAAGCTTCATGTCTCAAGCCATGTCAAACTTCCAACTATTAAGAATTTGCCTGGAAGTTCTCCAGCGGATGGGGCAAGGTATGTAACTTTTTTCCTGTACATAATCATATTATTAATTTCCAGCTAAATACAGGATAAAGGCAACCAATAGAGTGGCAAAAGTTCAGACCTCTGGATGTCAATATCTGTGATATAGATAAACCCAGCAATATTGCTGCATTGAATAGGCACAAAGTTGTTAGCAAAGTCCCAGAATGAGAAAGTATTGTTTATGAAAGTCTACAATGCGCTGCAGTTTATGCATAACTTTCATGCAGGTCCAGGAGATTATTACATGGACTCAGGTGTAGGTCTGTACCTAAAAGTCAGATTTATCTGACATCAAAATTTTAGGACATGGGGACTTGGCTAAAATTAATCCACCAATCACTAATAATATATGGGCACATCATACATTGTACAATGAATATTGATTTTCATCGCACAAGTAACCTATGTTTAATTTAGATACACTTCATTATTTATACGCAGAAGAGAAAAGCATCAACAACAAAAGAATGAAAAGGTAAATCAGTTTATAACATGACAATTAAAAACATAACTTATAACATAATTGTGTATAGAAAACCCATATTTCATGATGTTTAAGGGGACATTTTGGTAGAGCATTGTACCGAATCGAGCTTCAACTTATATTTTTAATATTTATTTTAATCATATAAGTGAATAATTTATGTTGGTTATCCGTTGAATTAACTGGATACATATCCAACCATCAAAACTTGGCTCAAAGAAATGGATGGTTGAGACAGGTCATAACCAGGATGGTTGCAGAAGAATTAACCCAAGTACTAAAAAAATAAAGAATTAATACAAGTATATGGTCACCAATATTATTTATCACACATTTATATGGACAGAAAAGCTATGAATGACTCCAAAATGGAATCCTGAGATCAAATAGCTAATTCACTTGGGTCCTGTTTACCACCATTCACTTGGGTCACAGCTTCATTTGGGCAGACCCCACCTTGCAATTGCAAAGACAAAAGTGGCAACATGAAAGCCCTCCCAAACAAGCACTTAAAACACAAGTTTTGTCCAAATTCAAATATTATTACATGAAACCCTGGTAAAAAGGTTGACTTGCATTTGACAGAACCAACTTAAAAGAGTTGCATTACATCAAAAATCCATGTGACTAGGTGATTGGAACTATCTAACTTTGAACTTAATAACCAGAAGGATTCTGATTCAAAGCCTAGAAAGGCCTACTTATTCAATTGTCTCTTAGATCATAATGCAGAAACATGTCAAAAAAAAAAAGAAAAAAAAAAGAATGTGATCATCTCGTTAGGTCAAATGTGGTCCAGGGACTCTGGGCTTTTAGGCAGAAGGGTGTAAATGTGCATTTTGGAGTCATTTTAGATGTTTCTTACACATCCCCCATCCCCATCCCCACTGGCTAAATGTGTAAGGCATTTTAGATGCTTCTTACATTATAATACTCAATAAATCTACACTGTAATATAAATAAAGTGAGAAAACTTTGCCCCTTTGGGGTTAGGGCAGGTCAAGGCCAAGTGTCATGTCATTCATTACCTAGAGATTATTTGATCAGGTTCTTTAGCAAATGAAACAGCAAGAACTAAATGTAGCAGGTCCCGATTGATATTCACAGAAACTAATCGTGTAGGATCTGCTGCAGGCTCCGCACCAATTGGTAGAGCTGAACGTGGTGCCTGTGGCCCACCACCAATCTTATAGATGAACAAATCACTGAAATTTGCAATGTTTGAATGCGGGGAAAGATCGTTCGTAAGGCCATAAAAATATTCCTGAGAGAATCCAAAACCACCATGAAACAATCTCATAATTAAGAATCATGAATACACAAACCTCATTTTAGAAAAAGATCTGTAAACTGAACTAACAGTTAAAAAGCATGAAAAAGAAGATGAGGCCAAATCACATCAATGACCAAGGACAGTGGAAAAGCAGTTTTGCTTTTAAAACAAGGCCATTGCATAGACAAGAAGAAGCCTTACCAATCTACCATCTATGTGGGAAAAGGTTCACTAATCATCAAGTCAGTTTTGGTTCTTCCCCTACATGATCTGCGAAATGAACGGATGAAATGGCCTAAACAAATTTCTATTAGATAGAAGACCTTCTAGATTGGATACAGCCATACAGGTTCCTTTCTGCAGCCCACTTCAGACCAACACCCTAACTTCCATTGGCATTTCCCAACTGATGCAGGCATTGAAGCAAAGAAAGAATCCATGGATAAGAGATCAGTTATCTTTCATTTCTCACCCAATGGAGTTCTTTCTTAGAGACTGGAGTTGATCACTTCCTCACCCATACCAAGACAGCTAGTCCAAGCATAATGGACCCCTCCAAGAACGAATTATGTAAAGCTAAATTTCAACAGGTACTGTCTCAGGAATCCAGGACCATCCAACATTGTAGGAGTGATAAGGGATGAATCCAGAAAAGTATTAACATATATTCCAGTCCAATTGGTACAGGGGATTCCTTAAGAACTGTGTTAGCACTACTACAGGGTTTGAGAATAGGGAAACATTGAATTTGAAGAACATAGTGGTGGAAGGAGACTCAAAGCTGGTGGTGGGGTGGATGATACATGATAACCAAGGGCTTGGCAATACAGGCATATCTCGCAAGAGATAAGGTCCTTGATCAGGGAATTGAATTCTTTACACCACTGGGTTTAGAGATTGGATAATAGTTTGGCAGATGCTTTGGCAAAAGAAGGGGTGAATAGGGTCAAATTATTGGGATCGATTATAATATGCATTTCTGAAGTAAGATAAAGGGTTAGGTGGAAATAGCAAGCCTACTCATGGGAATGTTTGCATTATGTACACACTGTATTCTTTTTTTTAAGTAATAAAATTGAATGGTTACCATTTTTTTTTAAAACCTCAATACTGATTTAACAATTTAAGGAGCTGGTTTCTTTTTTATTTCCGTAACAAAAGCAAACTAAAAACAGTCAAACAAGAAAAGTAAGTGAATTTAAAGAATTAAAGTTTACAAATAAGCTAAAAAATTCTGGCACATATGTCATTAATTTTATTTCTTTGTTTGCCCTCCACCATTATTTTCCCCTTTACTCTGATTGGTTACTGTTAAATTGATTATGAAAAGAATGAGATATGTACAAAATGCCAAGAATCCCGAGGAATAGGCTGCTGATTGTCCATCTATCCCAAGTTCTTTCCTTTTTTTTTCAAAATGTAGCTAAATGCTCTCCCAAATGACACCCCATGTATTAAATTTTGTCATTCCAATGAGCAATATATATGTTGCGGTGCTATGCAAAAAGCCAAAAACATGCCAGCAAAGAAACAATACCAATTACCAAATGCATCAATGTTGTTCAAGATACATATGATACTTCTGTCTGTAACTTGAACAGGACCAACTTGAACCTGGGTAGGCCAACCCAAGCCTCTCCAAAAGTTATGGTCGGATTTCACAGAGGCTGTCCTGGATCTCAAAAGTTGGGCTTGGGTTAACCATCAGGACTAGTCCAAACTCTTAGGGCAGTCCCACCAATTAATAGCGAAGCACAATAATATCCTATACTGAAACCCCACCAGATTATATTACTGCAAGGCACAATTCTCCACCTTTTCAATAGCCTTGTATGGAAATTGGCACTTGGAAGATGCCTAACTACAGACAGGCTGATAAGAAGAGGGATGCCCCCTCTAGTGCTCTTTGCTCTTTATGTAATAAAGTCCCAGAGTCCCCAAATCACCTCTTCATTCATTGCAATTTTTCACACCAGCTGTGGGTAATGGTAACATCCTGTTTGGCATACATTTCTGCTTTCTGGAATCAGTAACACAGCTTCTGCAAGGTTGTACAGCTAAAGGTCTGAACAGGAGGGGTAAACTTTTATTTTTTTTTGAAAATAAAAGAAAATTGTTATTAAAAAGAAAAGAAGAAAATTGGTTATAACCAGCAACAGGGTGACAAGGGAGCACCCAAACCAACTACAAACCAACAGGATGAAAAGAAGAGTCTGGTTTTGAAGGATCAGAGAAGCTTGGAGGGGTGAACTATTATGAAATACTTTCTCAGCTGCTATCACTTGGTTAATCTGGAAGGAAAGAAACCATCGTATTTTTGACAACAAATACTCTGACATGGAGAAAAGTAACAGTGATCTTATAGGTTTGCTTTGTTCTTGGGTGGGTGTACTGTGTACAAATAATATATAAGGGTGTCCACTGAGTTCTTTTTTGCAGGTTGGATCTTTTTATGGATGGTCATGCTTTTCGTATTTTTCCAATGTACAGGTTCTCATTGTACATGGGCTGACTTATTTTCTATTTGCATATTGTTATAAATCAATACAATACTTTCATTTACAAAAAAAAAAAAAAATTGCAATAATTAGTCAAGTTGATATGAAAAATTCTTCCAGGTAGTGCATAAATCAAAAGTGGCAATTCTTCACCCTTCATATGCTGACTCATATCCTGGACTCTATTTTTACATGTGCATACAATCTAGACATAAAAAGGAGATCTAGCCAAGTAGCCATAAATTATCAGCAAAACACAAAATTGATTGCTAGTTCATAAGGTGCTTGGTAATGCCTGCAGCCTGTTATTTGATCTGTAAATGCTCCTTGCAATTTTCCCTTCATCTTGTTTTAAAAGCTAGCTGTTTTGATTGCATACTCTATTAACTAAAAGTGCTATATTACCTAGAAAAGCTTTAGAAGGTGCTTCACATTGACATTAACAGTTAGAAAGATTTGTCAAAAACTTGGAGCTTTCTTTTTTTGCAGTGGGGAGATTGCATAAGCATATAGAGTGTGCAGAATAAAAGTTCCCCTATGAATAGGGTACAAGTCAAATCTCCCATTAAAGAAGGCACTTTACCCTTATCCTGTAGCTCCTGGCCTTCTGACGGACCTTTGCATTCCTAGATACAACACCACCTGACTTTTGAAGTTTCACAACATCCACATTAGGCTTGTTCTTTAGTACATCTTTAAGCATGCTGCAAAGTTTCTCCTGCACACAGTTTACAAAAGAACATGGTTAGGAGAAACAGATGAGAAAGACAATTACAAGGGACAGCATGGGTGCATTATTGTAAGAAGCAAGGGAAGATGGGCTATTTCAACAGTGGAAACAAAACCATATTCTCACTAAAGAAAGCACTTGTATTTAGGGCTAATTCCAGTGTAAAACTTATCAATATTAGTTTACAGAAAGATTGGCCTCCGCTACATAGAGCTCTGGTGAGTAAATATTCAGAACCATCTAACTTTGAGAAAAGGTAATTCTTAGAAACAAATACAAGCCCATTGCTCAAAATGACCCCGAAAACATTACATGTATTATTAGATGATTCTCACAACTACAAAAAAATGAAATGTTCTGTTAAACTGTAAGGATAAATCCACAGTCCAAGTACTACAGCCTATAGGCTGATCTACTGATAATAAATTGCTCAGAACAACCACAACTTTACTTTGGAATTTGGATCAACTAATTTGATGGACTCCACTCTACCTATACAATGCTAAGTGAGGCTGTGAGCTTACAGAACTTGTATGTGAGATTGTGAGCTCAGCCAAGCATGAAATTAGTTCTCAAGCATGAACCAAGAACAACTTCAAATCAACTAGTTTAGATAAACAAAACTAAGATGAGCTAGAACAGGCCCAGTTAACTTGGATAATATATTATCATAAGGCTCGCTTTATGATTAAATTTTTTCTTTCTTGGTGAGAGGTAGGTTCAAGAAGTTGGCATTATATGAGTTCAGTAAACCAGACAAAATAGGGAATAATAGGCCATAATTTAATGGGCATAGCAGAGTTGGGCCAGAGCTTGGATATCAGTAGCGACTAGAGCTTCAGCCCCCTGAGGTTGTCATAAACCCAACCAAAGCTGGGAAAAGCTCAGCTTCTTGATAGCCATAGCATTAGGGGAATTGATCCTTGACCCTCCCACTAGTTGTTTAAACCAACACTTTGTTGCCAGGTCATTGTGAATCCATCTAGTAACTCTAGTTAATATTTAATAGTTGTATCTACCTCAGGTAGAAACCAGATTCAGTCAAGAACCTGCACAACCAAGCAATTATCTGCTTTTGGATTAACCTACTACACCAACAAACAACATTATAAGGTTCTGTTTGGTTAGATGGCTTTTCATAAGTTCTTTTTTTTTTTTTTTCATCCAGGCTACAATTGAACAAGATCTAAAAATTTTGATCAGGGATCAAGTTGGTTTGGACTTTGGACATGGCTGAAATAATGGAAATTCAAAACAATGAAATTCTGACAAACTTCAAAACCTAAATGCAATTCAAAAAAAAAAAAAGAGAATCTCCCCCCCCAGGTGCCTTTTTACTCGTCTTGTTTGATTTCCTACCCAAGACTAAAGGGGAGCATCAGAGGCTAGTTGTGGACCATCACATGCATGCCATGTGCCTGTTCAAATTCTTGGACTTGTGGAAAGTATAGAAAAATCAACAACCTTAATTAATAAGATCAAAATAATCTAATGTGAGTGGTGCTTTGGAATAATGATAGTCATGCTAGCAGTATTTGAAAAAACTTATGTAAAATAAATTACCTGACCTAAAACCAAAATTACATTGGCATTGAATGCATCGATTGCATGAAGAAGCAACTGCAACAAAACATGAAGGCAGAAATGAACATTACATAGAGCCACACATTCAACAAGTATTGCTAAACTGGAACAACCCCACTCATGAATAACATCACAAATACCTCATAACCAACACCTTCTATCCAACCCATGGTATTGATCACCATGCCTGCAGCTCGAGATTCGGCATTGCCAGCAAATTGCCTCTCAAGGGTTCGAGAAAGCTCCTTTACAAGCACTTTGTATAAATCTGCATTGGCACTGTGGAACAACGCTGTCAACAGCACTTTTCAAAATTGGACAAATTGCCATAAACTTGTCAAGTTTGGTTAATCCATAAATTGTGGTGATACTTCAAGAAAATTGGTTAAAAGGAAAAAAAAAAAGGCAATGCATAATCTGCTACCTGGGTGTTGTGTGCCCAAAAAAGTAAACAAGGGGCATATCAAGAGGAATTCCTTCAACTGGATCTATTGGCATTTCAATTGGAGTTGCAGCAATACAACCAGGAATTGTTATGAATCCCTGACCAATATCCAAATCCACAAAAGTAGGTTTCCAACCCTGTTTAGCTGCCCAGCTAAGAAGCATTGCTGACAATGTACTCTTTCCAGAATCTGTAGGTCCTACCACAATCACCCTGGGACCCTGTACCACTAAATGTATCTTAACTTTGAGATCCAAAAACCAAATACAGAGAGGAAAATATAGCTTATTTAGATGAATAAAAACATAATATGGCAACAAAATTTAGTAGAGTTCCATAGCAAAAGAATGGAGATAGTTCTACAGCAAAAGGGTGGAGATGACCGAGAAACTTAAATATGTCAGCTTAGGTAACAGCTCAGAAGGGCTCCATCTATGCTGCATCACCCTCTCCACATGTGGGATGTACCCCAATAGGCTCATGCCACATGTCTAAAAAGGCATAGCAAGGAATCTAGATAAACCATTTACAAAATTCTTAATATATACAAATGTATGTAGCTAGGTGTATTTTTTTGTTATATGGTTGTGTACATTATTAACTCTGTGACTGTTAATAATACTTTCCCTTGTTGCAACTAGCCAAGGATGAGATGCAGGTGGTGCTCAAATCCAGATGGTATGTGGAACTCTCATGGTGCCTGTTAAAAGACTGTTATTTATCTAAGTATAATACCGCAGGGGTACTATTGTACTTTCCTCCTTTTATTTTTTATGTTCTGTCGCCCTAGTATATATATCAAAAGCTGGCGCCGCCAGCAGTAATTTTGGCTCTCAGTTCTCTCTTCTTCTCTCTCTCTCTTCTCTCTTCCTCCTCTCCTGCATAACATGGTATCAGAGTGGGACTATCAGATCTTAAAGGAGAAGTCGAGTGAACAGTTTTCTTCGCACCAGATTTCCAGATCTGCCACCCTCATCTACTGTCGGCTGATTGAAGATCAAGGTTTTCTCATGCACTGAAGTAACTTTTCTCCTTTTTTTTTTGGTCGTGTGCCAGGGCAGAACCTGTACTAGGTCTGCTGGTTGGATGTGAGGTGATCAGCACCTCTTTCTTTCCTTTTTTGTGGGATCAACTGATCCCTGTATAAACTGTAGGTCGTGAAGACCTTTGTGTACTGCAATAGCAGTTCTTTATGGTGGACTGAAGGTTAGAGAGTGACCTGTACATGCTGTAACAGCCTTCCTGTTGATGCGTAGGTCAAGAGATGACCTGTATGCACTGTGACAGCACCTGTGTTGATTCTGTAGGTCAAGGGATGACCTGTTAGTGCTGTAACAGCACCTGTGTTTTACAGAAAAGAGTTGTGTTTCCGAAGAAAAAAGGGGTTACCTTTCTCCCTTGGTGTTAGACCTTTTTTTTTAAGGTTTTGTACCCACTTTAAGAGTGTTTTTGAATCTGTAATCATGAGTGGTGAAGATTCTGCTACATCCAGTGCTTCCTCAATGCAGAATGGAATGAGTGGGGGTGTGGACCTATCCTTTCCCATGGCTGTTATTCCTCTCGATGGCTTAAATTATTTAGAGTGGTCAAGAGGGATCAAGCTGTACATCACTACAAGGGGAAAGATAGGTTATATAAATGGGAGAATCAAAGAACCCAATTCTGGGAGTGCTGAATATGACAAATGGAGCCAGGAAAACAGCATGGTCATGTCCTGGCTTTTAGTGTCTATGCAACATCAAATAAGAAGAAATTTTATGTGGGCTGAAATGGCAAATGAGATCTAGGAACAAGCAAAATCAACCTATTCTGAACTGCGTCACTATGCAAAAATCTACCAGTTACAGGCAGAATTGTCCACTTGTAAACAGAGGGAGAGGTGTCTGTCTGTGTACTACTCAAACTTGATCTCTGTCTGGAAGGAGTTAGACCATTATCAGAGTGTGGATTGGAAGTGTGATGAAGATGCAAAATTGTACAAAAAACTTGTTTCCCAATAAAGAGTGTTTGCTTTCCTACATGGCTTGAACCCTGCATATGAATCTATCAGAGCTAAGATCCTAGGTAGCAAGGATCTTCCATCCGTCTAGGAAGTTTATGCTCTTGTATAATCAAAAGAAAGCAGAAAAAATTTGATGAGCAATTATGGAGGGGATGTAGTCGTGTTGGCAGCAAAAGGGAGTGTTACTACCGGTGGGGGAAATACTTTTAAGAAGGGAGATTTTCAGAAAAAAGGTAGATGACAAGGACAAACTGTGGTGTACTTATTGCTAGAAACCCCGACACACCCGAGACACATGCTGGGATCTTCATGGGAAGCCGAAATGGGCTCAAGATATGAGTAAGAAGCAAGGTTCAGATATGAATAAAAAGTCGGGACAGCAAGGTACAAGAAAACACACAATGGCAAATATGGCTACTCAAGAGAATCAACCCCCCATTGCTACTATGACTCAGCCACATGCCTCTGGATCTAACCCAAGGGAGGATATTATTTATTCCTTCCATGACCATTTAGAGCTCTATGGTAGAGCAATTCGTCAGATGGATGTCAACACTATTGGAACAGACCAACAGAAGGCAGTTAATCAGTTTTACAAGAGGAGGCCACATCAGCTCAACTAACCAGCCACTTGTAACAACTGCTATCCACTTGCAACAGCTGTAATGGTCAAGATTGTAACACTATAAGTAGTAGAGCAGAAAAGGAATAGAGGAGGACTCTTTCAGCATTAAACTTTCTCTCTCTCTCTCTCTC